AGGGTAAACTCGAAGCGTAACAAAAACGAGAAATGATTTAACTTGGAACGAAAGACCGAAAGCAGATAGTAGTATTAGGACGTTGAATTTTTTGGTTTGTGAAGCATTGACATTACTTAGGTTAAACCATTTGATGATTTTTACAAGCCTTGATTTTTAAAACCATTCTATATCGCCTTTTGATTAGAGTTTAAAAACTTGTTCGAGCAATTTATCCAATAATAATTGGCCCCTTTATCTCTTAAGCCTGCTCATGTAAAATATTTGAGCTCCTTACTTCGCCTATTTATATTCTATTAATAAAGGACCGAAGCAGGGGCTGCTTGTGACCAAAATTTTGGGGTTCACAGTAGCAGAATATAGATGTCGGTACAGATATAGGTAAAAAACTGTTAGTATTTTAGAAAGGTATATTGTAAACTTTCTAAAAAACCGAAAGTTTTTTTCATATATGTGTACTGATATCTATATTCTGTCACTGTGAACCCCCAAAATTTTGGTAACAAGCCGCCACTGGACAAAAGGATGAGTATTGCAACTATGTTAAAAGAAATAAATTGGCTTTCAGTTCAGAATTATGTTCAGTACATGACTGATATTTATTTATAAAATAAAAATGACATACAAGAAGCCAATCTGACTTTCATGTACGGCAAGCCATCACTAAAAGTTCCCAAAACACAATTTTTATTAAAGAGTTAAAAAATTTAATAGACTGCCTACAGAAATTAAAAAAAAAAACAACAATAAATGTATTCAAAAGTAACCTCAAACAATACTTGATAAATAAACAGAACGGATATACTTTCTTGTAATAACACTCTTTAAACCTGCCCTTTTTAAGTATTTCCCTTAATTTTTTGTTATTTCACCCCTCGTTTTACCCGCATTTATTATAAATGATTTCTGTTTTAAGATCATGTATTTTATTTTAAAAAATTACTTGAAGTTATATTAATACTACTTACTATGTTTAAATTATTAATAGTTTTGCGACAATAGGTTATAGCAACTTATAGCCACAAAACTATTTTTGTGTTCAAGTAGATTCATAGAGAGTAATGTAATTTACAAAGGCCTTCTTTCAACATACAAATAAATGACAACTTTATAATTAAAATGAAAAACACAACAAAATGCCTCGGTTATCATAATTGATCAAAATTTGAAATGGTTGATCACGTTACGTCATTAATATTAATAAAAAGATTCATTTTTAAATTTTATGAATTGAGGAAATTTATAACTAGGAGTTTACTAAATATTATTTACAATTCGCTGGTTGAATCTATTTTGCGATATAGTATAACGTGGACTATATGATATTGCACTTTAATAGCTTAATGTAATCCAAAATCGTATAATTAAAATTATCTACAAAAAACCAGCATTATATCCTACCTCTCTTTTATATATTAAAAAAGTGCTTTGTATAAGAACATTATATTATCTGTCTTGCTGTACCTTTATTTATGGAAAGCCTGAATTGAAATACACTACAAATTATTTGCAATAAATATTAAAAGAAGCATACATTTTTAAATAATTTGACATTTAAGAGCAATTCACACATCACAGTTAACATCTTAATACTTGACAGGCACAGCCAAGCATTATTCTGATTTTTGCCCAATAAAATGGCCGTAATTATTCTATGGGGTTGCGATAGAGAGCCAGTAAATTTGATGAAGGTGTTTTTGTACCTAAGGGCGAAATAGTAGTACGCTTACGTTAGCACCACCATAAAAAAGTCATTTTAAGAAACTGCTTATATTTTTCATAAATTGGCAGGCTTGGCGACTAATTTCGAATAAAAATAGCCTCCAAAATGGCTATGGTTGCAAGTATGGAGGTCGCAACTCGCCTTAGAAATCTCACCTTTGCTATCAACAGCTGTTGTTTGACAGGTCGTTAGAGAATGTTTGAAATTTATTGAATGTTAAGAATGTTAGAAATGTTAGACGTTAGAAATGATTGGAATTCCTAAAATTGTCACATAAGAAATGCGTAGGCGGATTTTAAGAAAATTGATATTAAAGTAGTTATGATGAATCGAAAATTCTGAAAATCAATAGGGTTCTAAGTTAGAAGTAACTATTCAAGAAAATCGAAACCGCAAGTTAATCAGAACTTTCGTACTAGAGTTATCGTGCCGGTATACATACACACAGACGACCATTTTTTTTGCATTTTCGGAAACATGAAAACTAGTTTTAAAAAATGGGGGTAAGAAAATTTTATTATTCTACCGAACACAAGTATGATAAATATATTTTTGGAATCGTCTTGAAATTTACAATCTAAAAAGATAAAATAAAAAATTGTCGATGACATAGTTACTCACAAATGGTTTACCCTGTATATTTCATTGTTATGTAAAATTATATTAAATTTAAATAAAAAATTATTATCTCAGAATTTTTCTTCAAAATTGTTTGTTAAGATTAAAATTAATTTTTCCATACTTTAGGTATACTTTTACATTTAAAAAAGCTAAGCTTGTTTACAATCCATAAATATTATGACTTTATTATTATTATCTGTATCTGTAACGTGTGGAGGGTGGGTTACCCCCATGGCACTTAGGCCTCATTAGGCCCATTGTGCATCCTCCTAAGATGATAGGCACCTCCTAGCTCGTGAGCCAGCCTACAGATTTAATGTAGTTGACAACGTCGCCAAGAGGTGCTTCTCTTATATCGGCCGGTGTTAGCCGATACTCGCCGAACACAAATCTTCTAATAAATGAGAGCGTCGAGCAATCGTAAAGGATATGCTCGATGGTCTCATCTTCGTGTTCGCACTCTCTGCAGAGTGGCGACGGCGAACAGGCTGACGGCGAGTCGGCCTTACGACGAGTCGGCGACGGCGAATCGGCGACGGCGAATTGTCCTAGACCCAATAAACGTATCGTATCATATTATTATTATTATTATTATTATTTAGGCATTTTTAAGTTTGGAAACATATTAGTAGTAAAGGTTTAAGATCATGGCACAGGGTGAATATAATACTACAGCTAGAGAGTCTGTGCAAGATGCTTTAAACATAGTAACAAAATGGATAGAAAAGGAAGGACTAAAAATTAGTTCCAACAAATCTACCATAATTGCATTCACGCGCAGGAGAAACTAGAACCGCTAAACCTCTAAGGTGAAAATGTCCAACTAAAGGGGGAGGTGAAGTATCACTATTGACCCGAAACTTACCTGGACTCAACATTTGGAGAGAACAACACGAAAAGCGCAGACATCACTAGTAATGGCAAGACATTCCTTTGGAAAAATGGGAACTGAAACCAAGTATGGTATATTGGACATACATACCAATAATAACATACGCAGCTAACAAAAAGCGGCAATAACGAGATTAAGCAATAACGGGGAAACTGAAAACAACAGCAAAAATGGAAGTACTAATAGACTTGCTACCACTGCATTTTATGATACAAGAGGAGGCAAGATTAGGTGCTTACAGATTAGGGAAAACCTTGAGAAATCTTAACATTAGACTAGGTCACATAATTATTGAGAACAGAGCACATAACCAAACGTTACTCTTTCAACACTTTAGTCGAGGTTTTATTACCAAACAGAACAGAGATCATTATAAGGGAATAAAGTGCCCCACCACAGAAATATACCAAATACACAGACGGGTCAAAGACTGTGAAAGACACTGGGGCTGGAGTATTGGTCAAACACCCTAACTATGCAATAGGAAGTCACCCTTTAGTATTCAGTATTTTAGGCGGTAAAAAGGGTGGCGAACTCGCAAAGAGAGGGTCAGAAGAAATACCAGAAACAGATATAAACCTTGAAGTACCAAAAAGTATATTAACTATTGAGAGAATGTCCCAAAATAAGCACATGGGAAGACCTTTACAGGAAGAAAATATTCAAAAAGAACATGAAAACTATTCTCTATGAATAGAACCTCACAGGGAACCAGAAACAGTCAAACACATACTGTGCAACTGTGAGGCATTGGATCGCAAGAGACAGACAGTTTTTGGACAGCCACAGGTTGATCCAAGAAACCATGAAATACATCCTGTCTAGGACTTATATACAATAGGCCATTAAAATTTCAGTGTTGTCGAATATTAGGTGAGGCGAGCCCAGAAAAAAATGTTTTATCAGACTTCGTACTCTGTAGGGCGTTCAAACAAGAATGTGAGACTATCCAGCACATACTATACGAATTCGTCTACTAAATGACTTGTGTTTTGACTAACACCGGCCAAGATACAAGAACCATCTTTTGGCGAAAGTGTCACCTATATAAAAACTGTATTCTTAAAGAAGTCTCACCGATTTAGGAGGAGGCGCAATGGTCCTAGTGAGGCCTAAGTGATGTAGGATAACCTTCTATCCACATACCTTACAGATACAGATGTAATAATAGTAATCGTAAAAAGTATGTTTATACCAGCATATTTTTACTCATCCACCCAAAATTAAGTAGTCATTTGAGGTTCTAGAGGCAGTGAATATAAAAATATATGTTTTTATCAAATAATGACTTTACAGATTTAAGCCACTGCAAAAAAGTTATAATAAATTGATAATTTTTATTTGTTTTTCGCAACAATTCTGTAAGGTAATTAGCGAGAGGTATTTACTTTTTACTAAAAAATAAAAAAGAAATTACCTAAACATGATTTAAAATATTAATAATTGCTCTATCAATTTGCTTTAATGTATTAATAAATCAAATTAACACAAAATGCCCAAAAATGAAGTTTTACTACCTACTTCATTAATTCTAAAATTTAACACCAAAGTTAATATTACGCCCAGCCATCAAAACCATTAATCATAGTATCTTATAATTTGAGATTAACATAAAATTGAAATGAAAGAGAAACATACAGTCGAAAGCCGAAGTTTTAGTGCTTCGTTTTCGCCCGCAACGGTAAATTTAACCCTGAATTCGTCTCTGTATTCTCAGCCACCATACAAAGAGTAATGTTTGCATTTATGAATGTTTTATCTCGTTCTCCACAGGCATCTGGATCTTTCAGAAAGCACAGCATCTGTGCGTAGTGCTTGCCCGACTTACCATCCCATCAGCAAAACACCGAGTATTCCCTTCTCCGTAGTTCAGTAGTATCTAGTCTCTCACCCGAAGACGTGATTGAAGACTTGGCGGGCATCACGCGGTACCGCTCTCATGAATAGGCCCATTTGAAAAGAATTCCTCGTATTTACTTAACTCCTAAAGCCCGGTTTTTGTTCCTTCTTTCAATTTATACTAAACATCTTTTGGAATGCGTCTGTGCTAGAACGCTTTGGATGCGGTTAGTGGTTTGTGTACTTTTTGTGTTTGTTGTAAAATGTGGATTTTAAGGACTATTTGGTTTTTGGTGTTAGTTTGTTGGGGTTTGGGACAGCAGACTCCTGCTATCGGACACGGTGGTGCACCTTGTTATGATGCATTTAACAGACCGCAGGTAAAATATTTTATTATCAATTGTTTATTCGTAAAGTAATTTAAAAATATACAAATATTATTAAATAAACAAAAAAAAATAAGACGGGTTAATTAATTTTGCTAATAGTATACCTACCAGTTTCAATAAAATGGAGAATGCGTTAGTAGGAGGTTCTTATGAATTAGAATTTTTGGCGAAAGCTCTTCTCAATTTTTTTAAGATTTTGGTGGGCTAATGTATGAATAAATCATTAAAAAATTAAAATTATAGATATTTTATATGAGTTTTGTTTAGCGTGTTAATAAAAATTCTCTGATTTTTATGGCTATACAAGTTATAATAATTAAGAGTACCCCTCAGAGTACTATTTTGTTCATTTCCATTTTTTTCTCAAGCTTTTATTCTTTTCTCTCATAAAATATAAATAGAACTCGCCTTCAGGATATTTCATTTATTCACTTTGAGAGTGGGGAGAGAAAAAGCGAGTAAGATCCAAGAAGGCATGGTTTGGAAAAACAAAACTAAAGATGAGCTTTAAAATGTAGTAGTTATAAAATTAATAACAAAAATAAAGGATCTATATCTACAGACAGCAAAGAATTTACAGTGCAGAGTTGCGAGGTTTACAAAAATGAAGGGCCTATTATATGGCAATTTGTAATCTATCTAGTATAATACAACCTCGTCAGTGTGCTTTTCTTTGTAGTAATTAATTTTTGTCGCTATACGCTTAGTGTATTTATAAATCAATGAATTTGATTAAAGAAAATATATTTTTAGTTTTCTTGGAATCGATTTATTAAATTGTAAATAAAAGCTTTAATATGAACGAGATATTTTGTTAATTAGTGACTGATGACAGATATAGATAGAAGACAAATCTCTTTAAAGTTAACAACGTTAAAAAATAAAACATCTTTCAATAATTCAATATCAGATGTTATTTATTCTTTTGTCTTCTAATATCAATGTATTCTCACATTATTAAGATATGTAATACGATTTAATAACATTTAAGCAGTTGTTGCCAATCATTTAGAGAAGAGTTATCCCTTGATTAACCCTCCACGCGTCTTTTGTTACCGTTAAGTTTCAATTACATACCTTGGTATCAACATTGTTATATACCAATTTTATATAGTGTGCCTGATGATGGTCATTATGACCTAAACTAGCTGCTTCTAATTTTAATAAAGAATTTGAGTTATATGAATAATATTTCGTTAAAGCTGTCCATGTTTTACAAAACCTGGTGTAGAATTTTTAAATGTTTGCGATCAGTACAATCTTCATAGCTGTTAGTTGACATGTTCTTTTGTAATAATAAATTTTTGTATTCTTTAAATCCATGTAGTAATGCTAAAAACCTGATTGAATTGTCAAATAACTAAATAGTTTTTAGCTTTATTATCATCATTATGTTCAGGGGAACAAAGGTCTTTTAATTACATTCGGATCTTGTATGGGATTGTTCGGAAGCACAAACAGAGTTGTCAAACTAGATATTAGTCCTAAGGGAACATAAAGGCAACATAGGAGCTTATTTTTAGACCGCCAGGATTCCTTTTGTTTTCACATAAGAACACCCTCAAGTCTAATCAAATCTAATCTAGATAATTTAGTAGCAATGTCATTTTTTCAGTAGCCTTTTTCACTTTTTTAAGTGTTAATTCATGAAAAAGTGGAATTATGAAACTATAACTGCTGACCAAAATTATTATAAAAATCGGTAACTAAAATATTCCAGTTCGCCCGCCAAAATTTTAAAGAACGTTGCCCTTTTTAAACGTATCAATATAAAACTAAATATAGAATTGTTTATGTTTACAGTGTGTAAACAGTTTGAAACTAAGGGAAGCCAGCTGAACTCGAAAGTGTCGTATTTTTAAAGGTTTTGTTTTTACGGCTTATAATTCACGACTATCAAATGCCTGAAGAAACGTTTACTTAAATCTTATATTCTTAAATTAATCTTATATTATTTATCTACAAAAAGTTAATAGATTACAAAACCTTAAAATGAGTACTAAAAATAAATATAATAATAAATTTTTTGCAAGAATTTAATTATTTTTAAAATTAAATTAAAAACAAGGGTGGGTGGCTCAGTGGTAGAATCTCTGCCTACGGATGCAAGGGTGCAAGGGCCCCAGGTTCGAATCTCACCGTTGGCCGAATTTTTTTATTTAATTTAATTATTTAAAAAGAATTCTGATGTCTTGATAGGATTCCCCACTCGACCATTCATTGTTGGGTTCTAATTAACAGTGCTGATCCTAAAGTGGCGCTGGAAAACAGTAACAAAGCCTACAGCCTACACAGAACACGAGGCTAATAAAAAAAATTTAAAATACTTTTTTGTTCAACTGGCAAAAATGACATTGATTGGTTGCTAAGAATACTTTTAAAAGCGTATTTTTTTCCTGTTTCAAGAAAACTTTCAAACAGGTGACTTTATATCAATTATTTTATGTTTTCTCGTAAAATAGTGTCTACTTTGCCGGTAACAAATTTATAATTGCTGCATTTGCCACATCTTTTATCTCAGATATGGAATGTTACTATCTACCACTGTCGAGTTCATAATATATTTTTAACAAGTCGTTAAATTACACAGGGCAACAAAAAAATATTTTTTTTGGTGCCTTTGATTTTAGAGCTGATTTTAACTATATTTGGGACGCTAAATCTGTACATGCAATCCGTTTTTCTCTATCAGCTCTACTTTTTTAGATACATCAACTTATCTACCAATGTGGTTTTTATTCAGTATATTCATTTATGAGAGTTCTAAAATTATTATATATTCATTAATGTAGGTACAATGGTTTCATTGTCAGTCTGTAATTGAGTAAATTTAAGCTAAATCTATAAACAGTGGAACCATTGCCTATCAGGTACCTGAACTGACCCTTTTAATCCCCTAACTCGGGTAACTCTCGTCAGTTTGTGCGTTCTTACTAATAAGAGTAGATCGAATTCGGCGTGTTATTTTATGTTAAGAAAATAGTGTTTTTGTGTTATTGAACAGAATTTAAATGAGTTCAGGTTCCAGTTTAAGAAGAAGTTGTGTAAATCAACCTGATATATTTTGTTATATATGCGGAAAATACATGTTTCAACAAAACAGACAAACTATTACTGACTTTGTAAAGCGAGCGTATCTTGGATATTTTGGAGTTAACCTTGGTGATCAGGACAAAAAGTGAGCCTCGCATCTCGTATGCAAAACTTGTACAGAGCATTTACGGCAGTGGACTACCGGGAAAAGAAAATGTCTAAAATTCGGCCTACCAATGGTTTGGAGAGAACCAAAAAAACCACTTCAATTATTGTTATTTCTGTTTAGTACTAAAGGAATCAATCGAAATAACCGCAGTAAGTGGACTTATCCCAATGTAGACTCGGCAATACGCCCTATCCCGCACTCAGATGAAATACCGACTCCAACATTTCATCAGCTACCAGTTATCTCTGATGACGAATATTTTCCCTCTGATCGCTGTTCTGATGCTATTAAAAGTTCTGATGCTAATGAAACTAACAGTGACTATGAGGAGACGTCATCAGTTCCTCAACGCTTCAATCAAAATTAATTAAATGATCTCACCAGGGATCTCAATTTATCGAAAAAAGCTTCTGAAGTACTGACTTCTAGCTTGAATGACAAAAATTTATTGGAACAAGGAACCAAAATTACCTTTTACCGTACAAGAGAAAAGTATCTGCTACCATTCTTTTCTCAAGAAGACAATCTTGTATTTTGTCACGAAAATAATGGACTCATGAAAGAAATGGCTTTCTGAATATATTCCAGATGATTTGCGCTTATTTATTGACAGTTCAAAGCGAAGTTTAAAATTTGTCCTTCTACATAATGGGAATAAATATGGTTCAATACCACTAGCTCACTCAACGAAACTGAAAGAAGAATATAATACCGTAGCTTTGGTCTTGCAGAAAATAAAGTATCACGAACATCAATGGATGATTTGTGTAGACCTAAAAATGGTAAACTTTCTTCTTGGGCAGCAAAGTGGTTACACGAAATATCCGTGTTTCGTGTGCCTCTGGGATAGTAGGGACCAAACACACCACTGGGTTAGAAAATATTGGCATAAAAGAGAAAACATGGACATTGGAGAAAAGAATGTCATTAACGACGCTTTGGTTAAAAGAGCAAAAATCATACTTCCTTCGTTACATATAAAGTTGGGCTTAATGAAGCAATTTGTAAAGGCTCTTGATAAAAATGGGCCATGTTTTGCATATATAGGGGTAAAAGTGCATCAGTTTAGCACAGAAAAACTCAAAGCAGGGATATTTGACGGCCCACAAATAAGATAATTAAATAAGTATCCTGCCTTCATAAATTCAATGAATTAAGTTGAACGAGAAGCTTGGACATCATTTGTTGCAGTTGTAGAAAATTTTCTAGGCAAACATAAAGCTCAAAACTATGTTGAAATGGTTAAGAAGATGCTTAATAGTTTCAAATCCTTAGAGTGCAATATGCGTATTAAAATACACTATTTACACAACCACTTAGACCGTTTTACAGAAAATTTAGAAGACATGAGTGAGGAACAAGGTGAAAGATTTCACCCAGATATTAAAGTTATGGAGGAACGCTACCAAGGAAGATGGAACATGCACGTGATGGCAGATTACTGCTGGAGTGTAAAAAGGGACTGTTTAAAAAAACATTCAAGAATGTCGCGGAAAAGAAGCTTTCGAAGTGTTGAGTGACTATATGATTTCTTCAATATTTTTTTTTTTTGTTTGTAAATACGACATAATATTGTATTTTGTATAACTAAAAAAAAAAATTTCGTATCTACTTTTGTTTACTACACTTACGGATTTGAGTTAAAATAATGTAACTTATACTTCTCTAAAATTGTATATCTTAAAAATTTGAGCTCCTAGGTAAAAATAAATACGTTATTTGAATTTAGGACATCAAATTGATATAGAATTAGCTCAAAAAACCTCGACACCAAAACAGCTGTTCCCCT